TTTTTTCTTTATATTATTAAAAAAAACTTCTCTACCCATGATTTTTTATTTTGGGTTTTTTTTTTATGTAAATCATGGTATTCTTTATTTTTTATTTTCAATTGTGTTTATATATTTGTCAATCATCGTTGCTACATTATAACAGAATTTGCCAAGGTTGAGCTCTATCCATTACCCTCTAGGCTTCTCCAATAGGCTGACTTGCCTTTCTTGGACTCCGCCGCCATTCGGGAGGGGATACAGTCTGTGCTTGACGGGGAGTTCCCAAACGGATGCTCCTTTTGTCAACTTTATCTCGTACACAACCTCGTATGATGTTGCTGGGGAAAGCTCTGACATTTTGAGCTTCCCCCTCACGTCCAACCAGCATACATGGCTTAATTTCGCTACTTCGAAGTTTTCTTCACTGCAAAATCAGGTAAGTGTTTAGAACCACAAAGATTTACATCAATGGATCAATGGAAACAAACTGTTCCAAATCCAATGTCCTCCAAATCTTTGTTAAGATTTTATTGTTGTGTAACCTAACGGAGTTGTTACTTCTCTTTCTGGTGAGTTGTGTGAGTTTTCCATGCATTAATAACAATTAGTATGAATGAAATGAATATAATATATTTTTTTTGTTTCAGGAGTTGTGACCAATTTCAAGTAGTCATGGCTGAAATAGCTTCTATTTTTGTGTGTCTTATAGTTTCCGTGCTCATTGAAACTGTTGCAACCTTGATCCACGATGAATATGTTGCAATCAAGGGTGTTAAGGAGGATCTGGGAAAGCTGTTGGACACTCTAGAAACCATTAGAGCTGTGCTTGAAGATGCTGAGCAGAGGTCTGCTTGTGATCGATCGTTGAGACTGGCTCTCAAGGGTCAAAGATGCTACTTTTGATAAGGAGGACATACTAGATTCTTTCGCAGCCGAAGCTCACCACGGGAAGGTATGTAGAAACCGAGCTAAAATCCGTGTGGCATCTGAGATCATAAGAACTTCAGAAAGACTTGATTTGATTGCTGAAGACAGAAGAGATTTCAACCTCATAAGTAGTGGCGATGGTGGAAGGTCTCATTCTCAAAGTCCGAACCAGTTTCCACTCACCAGTTCCTTTGTTGAAACTACTGATGTGTTCGGTAGGGAATCTGATAAACAAAGATTAATAGATCAAATGCTATCAAATGAATCTGATAGGGTGGTGTTTCTGTCATTCCCATCATTGGGATGGGAGGCTTAGGCAAAACAACTCTGGCTCAACTCATCTTCAATGATGGAAGAGTTAAGGATCACTTTGAGTATAAGATGTGGGTCTGTGTCACCATTGATTTCAATCTCAAAAGGATACTCAAGGGAATTATAGAATTCCACACTCAAATGGAAGTTTCCAACAACTTGTCCTTCGATGGCCTAGTGTCGTGCTTCAAAGATATCTTGGCTGGCAAGAACTTCCTGCTTGTTTTAGACGATGTTTGGGTTGACAACTACCATGAGTGGGAGCCGCTTCGAAACATTTTGAAGCTAGGAGGTAAGGGTAGCAGAGTTTTGGTCACGTCGATCCGACAAGGTGTCAAACATTATTGGGAACCCAAACTCCCTACAGATTAGAATATCTGCCCCAGGAGGAATGTTGGTCATTGTTCAAAAGAATTGCTTTCAAAGACTGTAATAGCGTGTCGGCGGTAGACTCATGGAATTGGAAGGTATTGGTAGGGAAATCATTGGCAAGTGTAATTGTTTGCCTTTGGCAGTGAAGGCGATGTGAGGTCTCCTGCGCGGTAATGTCATGTAGAAAAATGGAGTTGGGTCTTAAAAGATAGCATATGGGAGCTAGAAGGCGAGAGAAGCCTTGATAAGCCCCAAATTTTGCCTGCCTTGAAATTGAGTTACGATCTCCTGCCTTCCTATTTAAAGCAGTGTTTTTCGTATTGCTCTATATTTCCAAAGGCCTACGTTTTTGACAGGAAGAAGCTGGTCAAGCTTTGGATGGCTGAAACATTTATTCAGCATAGAGTGGCGAAGTAGCTCAGAGGAGACTGGACGCGAATATTTCGACGAGTTGTTAACGAGGTCTTTCTTCCAAATTTTAGACATTGATTACAAAAATAGATACAGAACGCATGATCTTATCCATGAGTTGGCGGTAATGGTTTCGAGTCCAGAGTGCTGCCAAGTCAAGGTTTCAAGTTCCGAGTGCTTCCAAGTCAAGGATAACGAACCATGTGTTTTCGCTTGAGAATCTCGTCATGTCTCATTGTTTTGCCAGGACTTAGAGAGTCCGACCTGCAAGCAGGCTTTTAAGACATGTAATAAGCTGCGCACCCTCCTATTGCCTACTGAGTACTTGAAAAGCATAGAGTGCAGGCTCTGGACCAGATGTTTCGTTCTCTAAAATGCATTTGTGTCTTGGATCTAAGTTCGACCTCGATCTCGGAATTGCCAAGCTCTGTTGAAGAGTTGAAGCTATTACGCTCCTTGGATCTCTCCAGGACCGAGATCAAAAGGCTTCCTGATTCTGTATGTAACCTTTGGAATTTACAGACCCTTAGGGTGCCTTTGGCTCTTTGAATTGCCCAAGGACTTTGGTAAATTGGTTAACCTGATTTATCTTAAGCTAGATGAGATGTTTTGGTTCAAGTGTAGGACACTACCACCAGGGTTGGGAAACTTAACCAGACTACAGAATCTGCATGCATTTCAAGTATTCAAAGTCGAAGGTAAAACCGGACATGGCATCGGAGAATTGAAGGACATGTCGAATCTTACAGGAAAGCTGCATATATCCAACGTGGAGAATGTGGTGAACGCAACTGAGGCAAAGCTAAACCAGAAGGAGAGACTTGAGAAGCTGGTGTTAGAATGGAGTGACATACAGTTCAACAACCAAGAAGATGAAGTCAGAGCAGATAGGGACCTCAAAGGCCTTCAGCCTCATTCCAATCTCAAAGAGTTGGCCCTTCATCACTTCAAGGGCTCTAATTTTCATTCGTGGATGACGGATGATCATCATTTCCTTCCAAATTTAGTAAAACTTACATTGAGTAACTGCACTAAGTGCACTACATTCTCTGTTGGTCAGCTACCTTGCCTTAGAGAGCTCTACATCAAAGGGATGCTGGAACTGGAAGAATGGCCAGAAGCTCAATGTCATTCATTGTTTAGACTACATATCAGTAACCGCCCAAAGCTAAGGACGATACCGGAATTGATGTTAAATTTAAGAGCTCTGAAGATAAAAAAGTGTGATTCACTCAAGGCTCTTCCATTTGCTCCTTCTCTGATGTCTTTAATACTTATTGACAATCTTGTTCTGGAGAATTGGTGAGAAGGTGGGCTCATTACCATAGATGATCAAGGCAACCGAGCAGGAAAACCTAGGCCTTCTTTGATTGATCTTTTGGAGTTGAAACTGGAGAACTGCCCCAACATCCGAGCACTTCCTCGGATGGTTTTCCCTCAAAAGCTGGAAATAAAAGGATGTGCACACGTGACCGCCCTTCTGGTGTCGCGACAACTTCAGCATTTAGCTCTGGGATTGTGCTCTAATGATACACTCGTAAGGAACATACCATGTACCAACTCTCTCTACTCGGTCATTTCAAACATCTCAAACCATACCTCCTTCCCAAGATTGCCACATCTTCCGGGGCTTAACAGTCTGTATACAAGTGACTGCGAAGACCTCTCTTCGTTGTCTGAAGAAGAAGGGTCATTGAAAAGCTTGTCATCTCTCGAACTGCTCTCCGTTCGAGGGTGTCCAAAGCTCGAATCACTTCCGGATGAAGGGCTGCCAAGAGCACTCCAATGTCTAGTGATTGGCTCATGTCGCATTCTGAAATCTCTAGGTTCTGGACAGACCTTGAGGAGCCTTGCCTCGCTCAAGGACTTGTATTTGGAGGATTGTCCCTCGATTCAGTCCTTTCCCGAGGATGGACTACATCTCTTCAGCATTTGGAGATTAATGGATGTCCTCTGCTTATGCAACAATGCCAAAAGGGCGGTACAGAATGGCCAAAGATCGAGCATGTCAAGGACATGGAAATCAATTCCGTATCGATGGTCGCACCGGAAATGGTCTCCTCTGGTTGGTTGCAGGAAGTGGGTTTCTTTTTAATTCTCTCTCACATACTTTGATTTATTGTTTCATGTAAACAAACAACCATTTCTCAAACACATTCTACGTGTAAATCATTCTTGTTCATTATCAGCTTCAAGCTTAAAGGGGAACCAACATATGGTGGTATGTGTTTTGCAGGGCCGATAGTGGTTGGTTAAATTACTGCTGTCCATGGCGGATGACTTAAAATAATGATTGTTATTTCCAAATATTGTGTTTGTAAACATACATTTAAGGAGCCGTTGAATAATTGATTACTGTGCTATATCTACGTTGTAATTTGTGTTTCCTCTTTATTTCAATTTTAAATGTTTTACTGTGTAATTGAATCATATTTTAAATTTAAGGCAAATACTTTGTGTTTGGGAATTGATAGATGAGTTTTGCAAATTATAATATGTTATTTAAAGTATTTTTTTATTAGTTAACGAAATGTTATAAGTTGTTCTTTATCTTAAAACGAAATGTTAAAATTAAAATATCAAAGAATAAAGATTAAAAAAATTATTTTTAAAAAATATATTGAACTAAACTATAGTTGGCGACATTTTTACATTATTTTTGGTTGGTGCAACAACCACCAAAATCAGAATTTGAAATGATGAGGCATTGCTTTTCATAGTATCAGGTTATGGATTAAACCAGCCATCCAAGGTTAGATGGTTACCAATTCCTTCAAGTTCAGGGTTTATTATTAATTATGATTTAGTTATATTTGAAGAATGCAATTGGTTGGTTAGGTTAAGTTAATACAAGCTTGCATAAAAGATTGGATGTCACTTTAATCATCAAACACAAAGCAAGCCTGCAGACCGCAGTAATGAAAAAGTGCAGATTAAGGAAGCAAAACAAAGGTCGTTTATTAACATTTATAAAAGAAAAAGTTATGAAAGAAAAAGATACAAAAGGCAAATGTCTTGAGATCAAAACGAAAGACCCAAGGAAAAAAAGTTCAAAACTTTGAAGAAATTACTGAAACCTTAGCTCTTCTTTTCACCATCTGAGCTCTTCTTCTTAGCTGTAGCTTGAGAATACAAGAAAGTTCCAAGAATGGCAATCCCAGATCCAAGTGCATTCAAAGGCCGAACTGGATTCCTAAACACCAACACAGTCGAAACTATAACCACCACTCTCTTCATCGTGTTCCCCACCGAAAATGTCAAAGGGCTAATCTCATCGAGTGCCTCATAAGACGATTGATTGTACAGATGATAAAATATCCCGGAAAGCAAAACCCATAGGTAAAATGTGGAGGCTTTCCCCACTGTTTGGATTGCATTGTGATATCCTTGAACCCATTGGGACCCTTCAACCACAACAGCCACTGGAAACAGATAAAACAGAGAGATTATACTGATACAACCATAAAGATTCAATCCGTTCACTTCCTTGAAGTTCTGCAAACTTTTCTTGGAATAGATGTTTCTCAACACGAATCCGACATTGCTGATCAAAGCACCCCATAAGCCTTGGGGATTGAAGGAAACTTCAGTTACGGCAGCTAGAGAACATCCCAGAACAATGGGGAGAATAGACAGCCAGACTTTTAAAGGGTATGTATCACCGAGGAATGAAGAAAAAACAACCGAAAACACGGGCTCCGATGATTTAATAACATGAGTGAAGGAAACGGCAACTTTGGAAAACGAAACACAAGCCGAGATGTGGCCTATTGTGTGAAACAACGCGGGTCCGAGGAGTGCGATAATGAAAGGCTTTGTGATTTTGGGACAAGGTTGCAACTTTAAAGACCAGAGAACCAACATCCAAACGGAACCGGCAAAGAGTTGAAAAGAAGCGAGAAGCCATGGGAATGAGAAGACATTCAACGCTTTCTTATTGTAAATATTAAAGACAATGTTCTGAAAGTACCAGAAACCGAACACGAGTGCAAGCTGTAAAGTCTTGGCCTTTGACTTAGCTTCTGCGGCTTCAACAGATTCAGCTCCTGGATTCGGTTCAGATGATGCAGCTGCCTTGGGAACATGGGATCCTGGTTTCCTATATGGGTTTTCAAGGATATTCTCCAAATGAGATGTTTTGGCGGTTAAAGCTTGGATCTTTCCCAAAGGGAAGCCATGGATTTTGTTGAAGTTGCAGAGTTCGGAACTGAGAGGGGTGGATTTGTTAAGAAAAAAGGGAGAGTGAGTAAAGTTATGGGGAATTTGGATCCTTTTAATGGGATAATGCTGATGAGTGGATTTAGAGAAAGCGACGGGAGAGGAGGGTATGGGATTCAAAGTAAACATTTGTACTGCAGGAGAAAAGGGTTTATCTGCTATAAGCGAAGAGGAAGAAGGAAGAAAAGGAAAGATATTTCCAGTGGCCGCCTCTTTGTTTGGATCTTAAAGTGTTCCTTTTCTGTTCATAATTACGCAACTGTTTTGGGTTGCTAAATTTCGAACGTTTGTATTGGGTTTTATTAACCTCGAAATAAATTACTATTATACAATCAAACAATTAAACCCTACCTAAAAAAGTTTTCAAAAAGTTTAAAAATAAATTAATCACTAATATTATTGATTTGTGACAAATTGATTATTCAACATTAAGAGTCGTTAACGTAGGCAGGGCCGATCCTGGGCCAGGGCAGGAGGGGCGCTCACCCAAGGCCCACAAAATAAATTTTTTTATTACAATATTTTTTTTATTTTTCTGATAATAAATTTAAAATTTGTAAAAAATTTATCATTTAGTACCTAAACTATTAGTTCTGATCCGTTTTGGTACTTAAACTTTAAATTTTTTTTCAAAATCATATCAAACGTTTAGTTTTCATTTCATTTTAGTATCCGTCGTTACTTAACGCGTTTAGTACCTAACTATCAGTTTTGGTTTGTTTTAGTACCTAAAATTTCAAAAAAATAAATTAACGTTAAACTTTTGAATGAGTACTAAAATGAAATAAAAAGACCAAAGTTTTTACGACAGGTACTAAAATGAAACAAAAACGAAACTTTACGTATGGTTTTGAAAAAAATTAAAAGTTTAGGTACTAAAGCATACCAAAATTGATAATTTAGGTACTAAACATATAATTTACTCAATAAAATAATGGGGTCCATGAATTTATTAAGGTTTCAATTATCTTTATTGAATTTTACAGTAACGTTAATAAATTGTTTTTCCATAAAAATCTAATTTAATATTTCTTTCTCAAAATTAAAAAAAAATCAATTGAACTCTTTAATTTTGGTATTTTCAAATTCCCATAACAATTCACCAAATCTCTTTTCCATTTTTCATATCAATAAAAAAATTATTAATATTTTTTTTTCAAAACTTAATGAGAGAAAAAATTGAAGTATAATTAGCATGTTTCTTTTCTCTTTCATGTTTCACGATTCATCTGAAAATTATTATTCTCTTTTTTAATTTATTATATTTATATCACACGTAAAGTCAAAATGGTTTATTATCAATTATGGTGCTTGAATCATATTGAAGATTGTTCTTAAAAATTCTAGATAGACGACGTTTTCCAATTATTTCTTTTAATTTTATATATTTTCCAATTCTAAATAAGATCGTTATTTCATTTTCAAATGCTATGTTATGTATTGAGAAAATATGAAAATATTGATATGACAATATCATCAATGTTTTTGCATAAAAAATGATCGAATGTAATATTTTTTATAATTATTTGTATTCTTAAATATTTTTTTGACATCTTTTATATTGTAATGAATTTTTTTTAATTTCATAAAAAATATAATAAAATTTTTATATTACATAGTTCTTAATTTTTTTATATTAAAAGCCCGTTTTTTTATTTTCATCCCGAACTTAAAAATAGTCAGAACGAGAACTCAACGTAGGTGACGGAAAAAATAAGCTAGACCGTTATCTAGTGAGTAAATTTTCGTTTTCTCCCCCTCACTTGACGTTCAGATTCTTACATTAATGTACAAATACAAATAGTAGACGTAATGTCAAAAAGGAAAAAAATCTGAATTTATGCCGTCTGCTATTCACTTGGATTGCTTCATTTAGACGTTATCCACTTTGCCTCGAATATCGAATATATCTTTTATTCTTTTATAATCCGAAATCTTATATTTTTATCGAATATGTATATATGAATAATCGATTCAAGTTAAATTATTGTATAAGTATAATTTTTAAAAAATTACATTATGATTTAATTTATAAATAGATCTAATTCAAATGACATTATCTTACAAAATCATCTAGCTCACCCGATTATTCATATATTCCAAACTCGTCATTTTTCTGTTAAAAATTTGGTGGTCATCTGAGCTAGACATTAACTTAGTGATTAAAATATGATAAACAACATTTTAATGATGTCTACTGGCATAGTCATTGCTTTCAAGCATTAGCCCGATAACAAAATGTAAACAGAGAATCGAATCTACAAAATACAATTCAAGCGATTCTAGGATCAAATTTAATCATATCTCAATCAACATGTTAATGTCCAGCTCAGACGACCACTGATTGTTTCACGAAAAGAACGAGTTTAAAACATATGAATAGTCAAATGATCATTTTGTAAATTTTAATAATCGACAACTTCTGTTTCTTGACAAATATAAAAAAAATAGTTTGAATTTATTCATATCCATATGATAACATAAGTTTTAAAGCGAAGCATCCATTCATTTTAGAGGATGGAGTTTGTCGTAAATTTCTTGGTACTTGACGACGAGCTTGTCGTGAGATGGCCAACTTTCTTTGATTATCTGAATTTCCCAGAACTCCTGAATCCATGCAGATAACAACGGAAACCTCTCGTCAATCAGTCTCAAACCAACCACTTGTTCCAAAACACCGATCAAGTTCCCAAGCCAACCAAAAGCAAGATCCGCCAGCCCAATCTTATCTCCCCCGAACAATCTCTTTCCCTCCAGCTCTTCCTCCACAAACTTCAGATTCTCCACTGCTGCTTCCATGGCTCCCTCTCGTTCTTTCCCTTGGCTGGCGAAAACTCGCCATATCGATGGGAGAAGCTGCTGAATCCAATATCGAATCATTAAGCAGTAAACTAAACATGTCATAAAAGAGCTCAAATCCGACCTTGTCGCCGTTATACTTGGCCCAGAATCGTTGCCTGGCTTTGTCGTAAGGATGTTGGGGCAATATGGGATTTTGGGTCCATGTTTGGTCGATGTATTAGAGAATGAGGAGTGATTCAGAGATGGGTTTGGCGTTGTGAATGAGGACTGGGATTTTCTTGTAAATGGGATTGGAGTGAAGAAGCAAAGCACTCTTGTTGGACAGATCTTCTACATTATTATTTAAGTCACAGAGTCATTCTACTAAAGTATCATGATTGAACTTTTACAGAGTCTTTGTCTAATGAATATGTCACAAACATATTATTCTTATATGATATTTGTGATCCCTTTAAGTTTTGTTTGTCTACTTGATTCGGTCACCTTCATCTCAATATTTCATATGTTAAAGCATACGATGGAAATGATTTCATATCTATAAATGTAGTTATTTCATGTTGTGACTTATACATCCAATCCAACATATCAACTATCAGTTTATTACCTTGATATATGAGAACATGCAAGTTACACATACATAATTTTATAGTTTCTTTGGATTAGGATAAATATACATAGTAATTTACAAGTGAAGTTAAACTATAAATGAATTTAAGATTAATTCATCTCAGGTTTGATGTATTATCTAACTCGATTAAACATATATATGTTATATTCAACAGTCAAATTGCTCTAATAACTAGGACAAATGATCTCATATTCAAATTTTAGAATATGACATGATAGTCTTAAAGTAAATTATTTATTTAGAAAATTTAATTTCATGAACTACATATGTATTTAGAATGCCGACTAATATAAATTATCTTTCGTATTATAAAAGAATATTAATGATTTAGTTAAAATCAATATGATAATTAAAAAATTACTAACAAAAAAAATCTTAACACATGTTAACGATCAATATGAAGTTATCACATCCTCATATAACCTATGTTAAGTACAATCAATCATTTTTTTTATTATTAAAGACTTAATTAATGTGGAATGCAAATTCACACGATGATTTACTTTACTATTACCTAATTCCCAAGGGACTAAATTATTATAAAAGCTAAAATTACTATTTAAAAATATTTAAAAAATGAACTTAAAATTAATATGAAAACTGAAAATGGAATCAAATAAAAAATCTGGTCCCTAAATATAACAGCCAGTGAAAGCACGTGAAGACATGCAGATGCAACAATGAAGGACCACGTGAAGGTTTGCAGGAGGATCCGATATATGCTCCTTGAAATACAAAAAATGAGTGTAAGATTTGACCGGATGATCCGGATCAGAATCATCGGTTCAACAGTCCTTTTTTTATAATCTAAAATATATTAAACGATAGTATTAATAAAAACGTGAAGATTGCAATTTGCAAAGTACATTTCCATACGTTACCACTGACTATCATCCAACTGCAATGTGCCACGTCATTCAAAATATTTTCCGCTGAAACATTATCGTATCAAATGGTTTCTTCCCACTCTGTTCCTGCTTTATCTTTCTTTCCCCATCATCAAATCTGCTTTCATGTTTTTGTCATCGCCAAACTGAAGCCTTAGACTCTCCAAAAAGGTACCTTGTTTCTCAAGTCATGGGACAAGTCCTGGACAAATTTCATGGTAAGCCTTATTTTGATTTATATTCCATAAAAAATGTGTTCTTTTTTCTAGCAGTATGCTGCTTTTTAAAAGAATAAATTATATGGAAATGAAACAGAAAAGAACTTACCTTTCGTTTTCTATAGTAAGTTTAATTTCTAATTTTTATTATGGATAGATGTTCATGTTGGCTGGAAATGTTGTTCATGCTTTGTTTTTGGCAGGGAGGGAATGGAGAAAGAGACAGATTCGCAGAATCAGTGATAGGGTTTTTGAGCGTGTCAAAAATCAATCTGTAAGACGTAATTTAACGTTCGAAGATCTTTATATCGCTGTCTTGCTAGTGTACAAGTGAGGAATTTTGTTTCAAACGTTTCTTTGTTTCATTAATTCCATATTGTTAATCTTTTTATCAAAATTACACGATCTTCAAATTATGCCTTCTATAGTGATATTAATAAGCGTTTGCCTGGGCCGCACATTGATCCACCCTCTAAGGACAAAATCAGATCAATAATGAAGGTATCGTGCAATGGAAAAAAGTCTGTTTTCGTGTATACACGTTATAGTTTGCTGCACTGAAAATGTTACGAGTATGTATTGATTCGTTGTCTTGCTATTGATTCGTTGTCTTGCTAATCTTCTCTGTAATTTGTGTAACATAACATAATAATGGTGAAAGGCATGAAGCTGTTAGTTTGTTTCCTATGCAGGAGTGTGACTTAAACCTTGATGGAGAAATCGACAACACTGAATTTTTGAAATTCATTCAGAAGGTTACGACCGACACCATCGCTGTTGTTAGCCGGGGACTGCTTGTCGCTTTGGTTGCCGCTCCGACTGTAGCCATGGCGGCAAAGAAGGCGACTGAGGGCGTTCCTGGTGTTGGCAGAATGGTGCAGAAGGTACCCAATTCGATTTATGCATCCCTTGTGACCGTTGCAACTGTTTGGATTCAAACATCGTGTGAAGAGATTGGAGATTGAGTACAGCGTTTGTCAATCTCTTCTGTCAAAATTTTCTGTCTACTGTAGATGAGATAAGCTTATTGTTCAGTTTGTATAGAATAATGTCATGCAAGTTGGCATAATAATCAGGAGTAAATCTCTTGAACTCCATTGTAGAAGGCTTAGTTAACGTATGATATTTGTTTCCGCATTTCTTACCAACTTAACCTTCTTCGTTAATTTCTTGTCCGTGTATCATTGAAACTTCCATTTTGGAGAAGAAACCCATTGCATTTCTGGGAAATCCTTTTAGGAAATGGTGAATTTATGTCAAAGATGGTGGAACTCCAACATTCTTTCTTTTCAATAAAGCGGGTTGATGGACATTATGATACTTTGTAATTAGTTTTTAGGAACAAGAGATGTTCAAGTCTCACTCCATCACGTTGCATGTTGAAATAAACAAATTAAAAACGGGAAATCTTTCAGAAGAGTTTCAATGAAAATTTTCCTCTTGGTGGTGACAAATAATAAGGCTTCAACCCTACAAAAAACCCTGAACCTTTAACATTACAACCGGGGATAGGTGGCGGCGGATACAAGGCAGCAAATCAGAGACATAGAAACCGACATAGGCCAAGTGTAGTCAATGGGAATTCAGCTTTTCTAGCTTAGCTTTTGCCTGATCAAGTTGTTCTGTCATATATTAATCAACCAAGAAGGAACACAATATCACTAAATCTGTATAATCCTCAAGAAATGATCATGCAGCGAAAAAGAAAGAAAGATTTCTTACTTTCCTCAGACGATGTTGCTTTCTGAACAGTTGTGCGGAAAAACAAATTCCCATTTTTCTGATAGACAGTCTGCAATTAAGGGGGGGAAAACATAAATATCATATCTTGAACGTACTCAGAAGTCGGAAATGGCTGTTTACTTTTCTTTTCTTTTCTTTTCAGGGTGCAGGGTTGCCTTATTTTACTGTATATTGAGAAGAATCTAATTCAGAAAATTTGGGTTTAATGATGAAAACTAGACCAACTGACCCCTTCTTTAGATTAGTTTAGATCATTGGATCATACATGTTATAGTTATAATAGACCTAGCAGCATACTTACTAGACCCTCCGGAAAAATATCTGTATTCTCTATTCAAAGAAAACAAAGTTATTCTAGACATAAGAGAATGTGAATAGGAGTAGTATCTTAAATCCATCTATGCAACTACAAAGAAACTGATCATACGTTATTACTGTGGCTTGTTTTCAGCCATGCAAAATTAGTTCGACTCATCTACAACCAAAGAGTTTTCCAATTGTCGGGGAAAAAGATCATGAATATAAAAAAACTGTAGAGTAAAAAAGTGACAAAAGGTAACTCATCGTCATTCAGTAATCTGAAAAAGTTCATCATAAAGTTCTTGAATGCATTAACAGGTAAAGGAGAGGAAAGGGGTATGGTTCTGCCAAGTAAAGTGCACCGAATGCTTATATTATAATCAGATAAACCCTTTCATAGTATTTGCTATTTCCTAGATGCAAGAAAACTTTTGGCTGTGCAATGAGAATCTCTCTCGTTGGCAACTAATAATCAGTCAGGAACCTTCTGAGGACTCTGGGCAATTCCTTAGGCAAGCTCCTGTTAAAGCAAGTACTGCATCTCCAGGAGAACTTTGCAAATAGCTACCATAACCCTCTCTTTTTTAACAAAGACTCATCGGTGTCCCGATTACAAGGGATCTTCACCTGATTTTCAAACTCAATTCCTATGTTCAGCCCCTACACACACACTTAGTTCAAAGAATTAACAATCGGAAAAGTTAATGATCCATCTATTTTGAATCAACATAACAACCCTCCAATCTTGTAACTCCACAGCATTTTTTGGCCCTCTCAAGCCTTATCTATGCACAGCATATATAGCAGTAACATTCATTTAGTTATCTCCATAATTAAAGGTGGAAATGTCACGATCCAAGGTATTTCCTAATGTCTAGAAAATCTACCCCCCATTCTGCACTGGGGGGTTCGATAGAAGGTCACATTCAAAAAGAACTATTCTCGGTTACCTATAGCATCGTAGCTAAACACAGGCAAAATCAAGAACTCCACAAATAACATATAAATCCTCCAAATCCCTACCACTCGGGAAAACCCTAAATTAACAGAAATCCTTATAAAAACTTATAAAAACACAGCTAAACCAGCTACCTATAATGATGACCCTAACCAACTATATCAACACAACCCTACAAGTGATACGAACATAAATAGAAAAACTCAAACTAAGTTTTCCATCAACCGAAAATGGAAAAGGCAGCTTAGCCATCTTCAATTAGTCTAGTTAAGTTCAGAATATAAAAGTAAAACCGTGATGATTCTTCGTGCCAAACAAACATTCTAACAATTTGAAATTCCAGATTGATATAAGAACAAAGAACAAAGTAGAAAACTTTGAATAAAAAACGTAAAAACAAAATGTGGGTCATTATTAAATTTCATTAGAAAGTACCCTCGAAGAAGAAAGACTGCCAAGCTCTGCTATGGCCACTTCATGGGTTCTTATCTGACACCCAAAAGAAAAAAAATCCCATGAATATAAAAGCATGAAAGAAAGAACGAAAAAGGAAAAGACAATAAAAAACCTGCTTGATTAATTCGAGCTTGGGGTACGTAGAAGCAGGGGAGGATGAAGCTGACGCCATTGTTTGACAATAGGAATAAGAACCAGCAAAGTGATTCTCGGATACAAAATATAAAGACTTTGAAATCTTAAGTCCGACACGTCGATGGGCCGTAACCCTGAACAGAACTTTAGGCTCAAATACAGCTTAATCCAATTTAACCATTTTTCATATAAAAATTGATATTTTATTTTTATGGGTAACTTACAAATTTCATCACTGAATTTTACTCTCTCTCCTATTTTTATCACTTACCTTTAAAGGTTTTTAATTTCTTCACTAAACTTAATAAATTGAGTTTTTTTTGTAACTCCGCCGTTAAATAGTTAACGGCATTAAAATGATTCCATTTAAAAAAATCACCAAAATGATCTCATTTTTCATCTATATAACATCCCATTTATAGTGTAATTAATGAGAAAACAATTGAGTGACAAAAAAAATCAAATGTATTAAGTACAATGAGGAAATTAAAATTATTTTAAGTACAATGAGTGAAATATGAGATAGGGTAAAGTTTAGTTAGCAAATTTGTAATTTAACCTGTTTTATTGTAGGATAAACTACAAGATTGGTCACTTTCATTTAAGTTTTTCATTTTTTCTCTTTGAATTTAAAAAATATAATATTTGGATACATTTGATTTTTTTTAATTAAGATGTGGTCACTTACCTTATCAATTTTTAAATGTTTAGTCACTTAAATTTTACTGTAGTTAGTGAAGAAATTAAATAAAAGTGAATAAATATTATGTTTTCAAATTTAATGAGAAAAATGTACACAACTAAAACGAAAGTGATAAATCATGTAATTTACCCTTTTTTTAACTAACGTCATCGAAATTAATCAGAACGTAAGTGTTATAATTTTTCTAGTATTTTATTAATAATTTAACCTGTTTTATTGTAGGATAAACTACAAGATTGGTCACTTTCATTTAAGTTTTTCATTTTTTCTCTTTGAATTTAAAAAATATAATATTTGGATACATTTGATTTTTTTTAATTAAGATGTGGTCACTTACCTTATCAATTTTTAAATGTTTAGTCACTTAAATTTTAACTGTAGTTAGTGAGGAAATTAAATAAAAGTGAATAAATATTATGTTTTCAAATTTAATGAGAAAAATGTACACAACTAAAACGAAAGTGATAAATCATGTAATTTACCCTTTATTTTAACCAACGTCATCGAAATTAATCAGAACGTAAGTGTTAATAATTTTTTCTAGTATTTTATTAACAGTGATGTAGAGTTTCGAGCAAGTCCAACCACATGATGTTAAGAAAATTAAAAAATATTTCACAACTCAATACAGTCCAGAAAAATGTCTGCTTAGTATCAAGAAATTTTATAATAAAAATGCTAAAAGCAAACATTTTCAAGTCATTACAAGGTGTAGAGAAATGGTCTTTTTGCTATCGACTTGACAAAATGGATATATATAATTATACCTGCGGGAATATATATATTGATCACATGGGCATTCTAACATTGCCATTAGGCATAATGTTGTTAACCTGGCTGTTGTTGTTGATCAGATGAACTTCCTGAGGTAGAAGATGGTACTTAATACCAAGACCCTCGAACATCTTTTTCAATTCAAACAGCAGGTCCGATCTCCGACCACTCTTTTCGCCGTAGTTTTGGTGGTTCATCGTGTGCTGAACACAAAGAACCAGCTTCATCTTATCCATGTTCTCAATCTCCTTGAATATCAATACGTGTTTTGGACTCCAATACTTTGGCTTGCTCTCAATATACCTGCAATAATATTCATGTGATCAGTTCATTTTGATTAATTTACGATTAATAATATTCATGTGCTGCAGTACTACTTACAACTGTATAGCCTTCTTGAGAGCATTGATGTCTTCAACAGGAGTAGAGACATCGATGGTGAACTCAACAGTGTCTCCCATGTCGGGGCTTCTTCTGAAGTTGCTAATAGGTTTTGTAATAAGAACAGAATTCGGATAATATATCTTCTCCATGTCATATCTCAAGAACACTGTTGTCAGAATGTTCATTTCTTCCACAATCATCTGCAGTAACATATACATATATGTTCGATATTAATAGATTAATTGAAGAAATTAATTAACTATAGTCCTTAATTACCTGAACTCCGTCGATGACGCAACGATCTCCGACGTCGAAAGGGTGCATGACGAAGACGAAAATGATGGATTCGAAGATGGTTTTGCAGGTGTTTTGGAACATGAACCCGACGATAAGTAGCTGAGAGGTAACGACGAAGACAACCTTAATGGTTGCGACTCCCATTACGAGGAGGGAGACTACTATTATAATAACAATAACGATTGCACTTGCTAGTCTGTGCAGCTGTTGGACTGCTGTTTTGGTGTCGTTTAAGGAATGAGCCAAGGCTTTGCGCTCAACATATGCATGTACCTGCAGAACAACAGTATTCAATCACTATCAGCGATGGATTTAGAGGGCGGAAAAGATAATTACTCTTTTCAAATTTTCAAATTATCATATTTTTTGTATTTTCAATTGATAATTTGTTTTCTTCCCTTAAAATTTTATAAATTCTTCCCTTCTAAAGTTTTAAAAATTTATTCTCCCTTACATAAAAATCTACGTCCGTCGTTAATATTACCATTAATATCAATATATTGTTTAGATTTTTTAGTTACAATATATTATTTAGATTGAGAACATGTAAAGTTAAATTATTTTAAAACATATATAAAGGATAATTGAAGCTTACCACCCAATTTCTGAAGGAAGATTTGGAGATCTTTCCAGTCTCAAGGGCTCCTTCAAAGAGAGGAAATATAGTATGAACTTCTTCATTTCTTAAGAACTTCAATAGGTCTTCCTCTTCTATGTACCTATGTATATATTAAGAAGAGTCAAAATGAAAATTCAAGTTACAACATATAATTATTTTAACAACTCGATCCAACTTTTATTTTAACTCAATAAATTTAATCCACTAATTAGATGATGATATCACCATCTGAGTAAAATAATTTTTTAAAATTAATTTATTGATTTAAACTAAAATTATGATTACACTGATATAACACGTAAGTAATAAGAACAAAATCTATAATTATAAAAATGCTTACATGCTACATCAACATTTTCATTAAAAGTTAACGATCAGTGATTTGATTGATATCATTTAAATAATTAAATAGTGTAATTGACTAATTTGATGGTAAAAGTAAAATCAATGATTTTAGTTTACCCAAAAAAAAAACTAAATGTCTACTTGTGTGATGTTCATATTTGAAATCTTTCTTCAATTGAAAGAGACAAGTATGCAAGTGGTGGCCTATGCGGTCTTTAAAACATAAACACAAGCAACAAAGCCTAGGCATGCAGTGAATGGTCAATTATCACATAAAATGTATATCCATACACTGCCTGAACAAAAGGTTATTTCAGGACCATTTTTTTCACATAATATTCAATCCCAATGCCATTTATCCATCATAGTCAATCAATAATATCTACCAACATTTACATTGTTTGTAAAATTATTATATATAATTTATGGAGTGCACAATAACATTACACATTGCATGTTATAAAGTAGTATTAAAATTTTATATGAAATATATATAATTTTAAATATGATCATAACATGATAAAATATAATGAATAACCTATTAAGTAGCTAAGTTGGGTGTAATTTGTATAATGATAGAAGACTACAAATATATAAATGTTTATAGAAAATAATAGTGGAGAAGGAAAGCAATTTTACGATATAGTGTCTGAGCACTAATGGTCAGTACTGTACATTATCCACTATATTATATATATTCCGCACTTTGTATGCACCAGATTTAGTGGATAGTTGGGCAGTCACTAAAGTCTAGGGTTTGCACTATTATTGAATATTCTAAACGGAAAAAAAGGAGGGCTGATGAAGACAGAAGGAAGAGGGTGAAATAAAAAATGGAAGAATGTTTGGTGGTGGTGTTGTTTTATTACCGGCAGTAGGGAGTGGGAGGGTGGGGTTGGTTGGGTTGGTTGGGTTGGATAGTGCCACATAGACATCACTATTTCTATTTCTAGGGCTTCATGATTACTCCAAATGCAATTCCAACATGTTTCTAATCCAGCAGATATGGCATTGCAAACACATCACGTTTGTTTGATGCATATGCTTTAAAAATATTTTAGTATGAAATACAATTTTAAAGTGAATATTATTAATAAAATAACAATTAATATGAATTTTTTTAAAGCCCATCATGAACAACACTTGGATCCAACAAGCAAACTACAACCTAAATTAATTGAATTCTATGGAATTTTCCACAATTAAACTTAGGAATATGTGATCAATCTTTTAGAAATTTTAAATTTTTTTATATTAATTATCTTATTCTATATCTCTTAAAATTTTAATATAACTTTTAAAATTTGTTCTATTGAAGTAAATTTTTTCGTCCATTCTTTTTTAATAAAAAATAAATTTTGAGAAATGAAAATGGAAAACTATAATTTTATTCATTTGATATTGATTCCTATGGTGATGAGAAATTAAGCAAATACCAGTCCAAAAATGAGTTGAAAGATGAAGAGGATCTTACTTGGCACCGGGCTTGGCGACATTCTTGAAGATCCTCTGAGCACATGCCCGAGCCTCCCACTCACTGCTAATCTCCGACTCCCCCGCCCCAAAATCGTCCACCGACCTCGATATCGTCGTCAGCCCCGACGACTTAACGTAGTTCACCAGCCTCTTCACGCTCCATGCATTCGCTCTCCCTTCCAAGCTAAGCTTTTTCAGCTTCTCCATGTCAATCCTTCTCGACCCTTTCTTCGACAACGTCCTCGACACCGCCCCTCCACCGCCGCCTTCCTTCAGCCTCGCAGGCATGGTTTTAGCATGCCGGAGCCCTCGTTTACGCGGCAGTTCCCTCTCGGCCTCGTCTAAAGGAGGCCCCGAGAGTGCATCGAGGATATAGTGATGGAAAACGCTCTCTTGCATCCGATCAAAGAAGGTCGCGACGTGGAAAGACGAAGCCAAAACCTTGACGAAAACGATTTTCAACAACCAAATGGTGGCGCCGGTGAGAACAGCGATAAGGGCGAGAAACGTCTTTTTCACGACGATGTTCTGTTTATGACCATCGGGGAACATGATCATCCAACAGAGAAGAACTAACCCTAGCCAAGCGCAATTCTGAAAGCTTTTCCTCAAACCATAAACGAAATACAAAACCTTCTCACGAAGTATGAAATTCCGTTCTATAAGGAACACCATGAACCCAACAACCCAAGCTGAAACCAAACGTCCACAAAACAAAACCAGTATCATAAGACACCATTTCCATATCTCTAAACCCCAAATAAGTTTGTGTTCCAAAGACTTTACAGTTAAAGAAGAGATCAAACAAGTCATGATAATGACAAAGAGAATGAACTCAATCCAGGCTCTTTTGTTGATCTTTCTTCTCCTTCTTTTATACTTGGCTTCCTTACTATCTCCTTCATCATCTTCATCATCGTCGAACCACTCGTCATCGGAGTCAGTGGAAGAGGTATCGTCTTCAGGGTACAAGGTCTGGTTTTGATCGGATTCGGGGATGGTTTTGGGTGTTAGAGGGTAAGAAGTTTCGGCAAAACGAGCTCTGGGTTTGGAGAAGTTGAGGCGGCGAAGAGTTTTGGTTTTTGCAGGGGATTGCTGTTGTGAGACTGAATCGGTATTGTTAGTAGTATCTGCTCGAAGAGATGAGTCTTTGGGTTTCAAGCTTGGTTCGTCCATGAAGAGGACTACTTGATCTGAACTGTGTTTCTGTTTGTTTTGGTTTTGGGACTCCATTAATGCACAAAGCTAGCTAACAACATGGAAGAGAGGAAGAAGAGTTCATCGTAGAGAAATGGCTTCAATATTATCTTCCCACTAAGGCCAACTAATACTAGGAGAGAATGAGTAAATTTAGACCAAACATATAAAGCTGCCTATATTAATATTGGGCGACTATTTGATGTACAAAATTATATATTGTTCAACCATTTAAATATTAATCTATTAAAATAGGCCAGTATTGATTAATATAATATATAATTTTACACATAATCAATGAATCAGATTATAATATATTTTTTAAAAATAAAATATTTTAAAACTAAATTTAAAATTCTATATATATCATCAATATATCAAATGATTATATATTATTTTAAAAGAATATAATGAATGCCATAAATTTATAACATCAAGATAGGTTTGTTTATAAATTATTCCATTGGTAAATATATAATACAAATTATTAATATAATAAAATTATATGGCACAGTAAGATATATAAATACATAGGATGAAATTCCTAATCATATCGAATTAATAAAGAGATTTGGCAGAAGCTTTTATTTTTTATATTAAAGTAGTTATAAAAGGTAGGGAGGTAATGATTGTGTTTTGAATTTTGAACCTTTCTCGTTTGAAAAAACTGTTGAAGAAACACATTATTTATGTCTCTGGTAATTATCAGGTGAATTTTATATTAATCATAGTTGATGATGATAAACGACAATGTTAAAAGCAAATTAAGTGATTAGTAACCACTAAGTAGGATAATGGTTATTAATTGTTCCGTAAGCAAGGGAAGCATCTGTCAAAACTTAGGCTTTGTTACTTTATTAAATATTACATCAATCACAATTGACAATATATCATGGGGGATGATAGGAGCTTTGAAATAAAGCTGAAACCAAATCTTCTAAATTGGGCTCTATGTGCTAAAAATTAATCTACTTTGCTTAGGGACAAAACATGGAACATGTCCAAGTATTATTGGAATTGTTTTTATTTATTATAATTGGGTTTCATATCCTAAAGCTGTATTCTTTCTTTTTTGCTGGGACAAAAGCTGTACTGAATCATGCGCTGATATACAGTGGAGATGGACACAGCACCCTGCCCAAATGGTTGAGTACCACAACTCACTGAATCAATTAATAAATGGGACAATCACCCAAATCCACCTACGCCCAACTATACAGACACAACAACCATGTGCCAGCACTAGGGGCTGCAAACAGAACAAGATACATCTTAATCTATACGAATTCGACCCGATCAAAATTTAATTAATATTTGACAAATTAAAATGATTGTTTGATACTCGACTAAAACGACATACTTAATACAACTATAATATTAACTATACAACTGAAAAAACTTGAAACTACTATAAAAAATCTATTACATTTTAATTTTTTAAAATTAAATTATTAATAACATTAATATCTGTATGTTATTTTAAAAGAAAACACAATATAAGATTTTCATCTACTTAAAATTTAAGTTCAAACTTCAATTGAGTAAAGTCAAAATATTTCGAGTTTAATTTTTTTTAACTAGAGTCAAACTTCAATTGAGCTCGTAAGCTTTCAAGTCAAGTCGAGCTCAGTAATACTCGAGCTTAACTCGACTCGTTTACAGTCCTACTAGCACTAACAAAAGGACTGAGAAAAAAATAAAGAGAATTTTATTTTAAAAAATGTGGAGAGAATATTGTTACCATCAAATATTAGATACCATGCTATTTAGTAATATATATATATATTATTAAATAGAAGAGTTGATGAATATTTAAATTATTTTTCTAACACAACTGACTAGTTGAAATAATAACAGAAGATGTCGATTTCTAAAACATGGGTTATTGTTGTCTGTAATAATGGAAAGACATAATTGTTCATTCAGAATCATTACCGGGTGCTGTAAGCTTAATAATCAAAGGAACCCCTTACCCCCTCGAGGCTCTCTCCTATTGATAATCTGCAAAAAGAAACATTAATAATTATCAATTCAACAAGTTCCAATACATTACTCGTTTTGGGGACTGCACTTTTCATAAAGTAGACCGAGAAAAATGAAAGCATCTATAAGTGGATTGATATCTAACACATCAAATGTTCAAAATCTACCAACAAAAACGTGAAAATTGCTTGAAGATAAGCCACATTCCATTTTTTCCACAGTTTTTCACATTCAAAATAACTACAGGGAAGCCACATTCCATTTTTTAAGAAAAATCCTCAAAGATGGTAAAACTTCGAAATCAATGTAATTAAAACCCAATATATAGCAGCAGCACAGGGAAGAACTTAACCTGTTAATAGCCTGGTTTTCTCTTTCATCCTATATGTATTTGATACCAAAGATAAGAAAATAAGAAGCGAAACAAGTAACAACTAGCCATGAGTTTAGGCACCATTCTAAAGACAGTTCCGAATGAGATGGCATGTAGTTTCCTTCTCTAGGCTAACTCCTTAGGTATCAACAAGAATATATGCAAATTAATCATCAATCATTTATGAGATATGAAGAAAGCAAATTAATATGCAACATTTTTACACTCCTTTCTAACTATATAAGAATTCTCGAAGCTCGTCAAAACAACCCAAAATCATCAAAGAACACACATGGGGAACTCAAAAGTAAACGTTAGGCAACTTGGATGCAATTGAGAGAGACATTCCCTAGAAAGATCTTTCATCATAACCTAAAGTATTGAACAGAAAATACACTAAACAACAACTTGTACAAGTTCTACCCATACTACCTTTAAGAAAACAAAGATCAACTGTAGTTACAAGTACTGATATAGTGTGGTCATTGGCATACCAGAAATTGTCAAGAACTAATATGTTTGAGGGTTTATTTTCACCTCGTTGCAAAAGAAAAAGGCTCAGATGTCGAATGCTAGCCCCTTGAGGAAGTGAGGGACACAAAAGGTAAACCTAATTTTATTCCTTTTATTTTCATCTCTCACAAGTAGTTGTGCCTATAAATTGAATGCTTTAATGAGGCTAGTAATATAGAAACCAAAAATGTTAGATGATATACTGTAAAGGACTTGTCAAAAAAAAAGTCAGTGTTCCTTTTCACCACATTGCAATAAAAGGATTAGATGTTGAATGCTAGCACCCTGAGGAAGTGAAAAGAAAAGAGACCCAAAAGCATATATAATTTTATTCCTTTATTTCCGTGTCTCACAAGTGCACATACTCGGGGTTTTGATGACAGTAGAAATTGAATGCTCTAATGAGGCTAGTTCTATACTTAAATGTTTTATGCTGAGCTGCCAAGAAACGGAAAATCAGTAATGCGATGTTTGGTAGGAATGTTATTTTTTCCTCATGTTTTAGTACATGAGCTAGCAACAAACTAACTTCACTTGGTAATTTTCAGCCACTCACATGAATTAGTTTGAACAAAGAGGATTAAATATTGCTTATTTTGAATAGGTATTATTTTTTACTCGTCTTTCTAATTTCAAATCTAGATTTGTATTAATTCTTCTTTATGTTATGGAAAACAATATTAGAACTCATGTAATAATTAAGCTTTTCCTTATGTTAATAGTTAATACTTATGTAACCAAACATAGCACAAATTTATTGTAGATTCGGTGCCTAATACTATTTAGTCCAAGGATGCAGTTGCAATTACAGCCTAAAAGGCACTACCCTATAAACTAGACACTAGTGGTTGTTTGTTTGTGTATACTCTAATGCACAAATACTTCTATTATGAAAACTGAACAAGCAACAACTTGTCTACAACCTTGAATATGGTAAAGAGCGGGCATAATGGCACCGGAATTGCATGCAAACAGACTTAGGTTGAATAACTAGTAAAAGGAAATCTACATTATAGCAGTAAGTTTATTCCGACAAAACACATCTTCCACGTGAAGCCCTTAAGAGTATGAAAATAAAAACACTATGAACATAAGCTATCAGAATCCTAATTGCATTTCGTTGAAACAGGTGGAGACCAAATAGCTATATAATCAAACCGCCCACCAGATTCTAACCTCCTTTCTTAAGAACTGATTCCATTGTCATAAAAATCATTGCGATGATGAGCATTCTATTTTTGGCAATAGAAGTTTCCAAATTTCCTTTTTACCCGAAAAGTATCATTTATGTTTGAGTCTACATGACCTCCACAAAGGCTGTCTATATCCTGCACTAATTCATCTACATTAAGGTGGCCAGATCCCCTATACCCTGACCATGCAGTTTCCTTCCATGTACACTCTCCATTATTTTTTAGGTTTAAGAAGTAAAGATCTTGCATTATATTCTCAACATATTTCTAATACCCTAATTCACCTTTAGAATCATACAAAACTCCCACATATTTTAAGATATGTCAAATAAAAGCCTGATTATTGCAGAATATCAAACAGATAAGACATGATGAAAGCATAAAAAGTGTGAAACTTACTTGTACATACAATACTTGAATTCTTGCCCCCTGATATAGTCTTTCTCTCCTTCTTCGAGCTACAATGTAAAAATCAGAAAAGAAGAAACAATCAAACTGGATAATAGAAACAGACTCAGTAGAGCACCACAACAAGGAAAGGTTTTACATACCGGATCACTTTCATATATAAGCTCATAACAAGCAGGAGAGAGGCACTTCAAAGCACAGTTCTCTTTTGCTATCGATGAAGACTTGCAGTGGCCACCCCAGAGTCCACTGATTCACCACCACAAAGAACAAAATATAATAATAATCAGACCAAGCAACATACATACATATCCCATCTTGTTAAGCATCAAAACTGCTAGTCCGTCTAAAGTAGGAAGAATGAAAGTTGAATCGAGGAAAAGGTTTGAAATAATGAAATAAATCCCACTAAAATAATCAACACAACTTACTCTACCTAAGATATAATCACACACCAAAGAAATAATAAACAACCCCAGATTTGCTTTATCCCAAATAGAAAAACTGAAGCCTAATTGAAGGGGGAAAATCAGTGAATATAAAAGAAACCCAAACTTAAAGGAGAAAATACCCACCTGTCTATATCAGCATAACATCCACTCTTCTTCTTCTTAATCTCAGAATCCTGTGAAATGCCATTAAAATAACCAATTAGAGAAACAAAAGCAATAAATTAATTTAAAAAAATAAAAACTGAATTACAAATTTAAAAAGATAGAAAAAGATCGGCATGTACTGTGATTGGATTTCGAGATTTAGCAAGGACTGAAAGAAGAAAGCTTGAAGAAGACAGCATGATTAATAATAAAAGAATGTAAAGCACACGAGACATTGATTTTGTTTACAGAAGAAGAGGAAATTGAAGCGTGGATTTTCCGTGAATCCTCACCTTAGTCCAAGTGATGCCAGAAAGAGTGGAAAAACACTTGAATAACGTTATGAGCAGTACAAGTTAACCCACATGAAGGTCAATAGGCCTAATCGTGCCCAGTGCTAATCATTGCCTAGGCCCACTATGCCACTATCATCGGCCTTGATTCATTTGTAAAATGTGTTCATAATAGTATAAATAAATAAAATCTAATCTTACAGAAAAATAAAAAGAATAAAATATTCATTTAACATAAGGTGATAAAGAAATTAATTTTTATTCAATTTGGACGACAATAAAACAATGATAATAAATAGTTGTGTTGGTGTGAACCAAATGATCTTAGTGATAAATGAATTGTTATTATTATTTCGATTTAAGTATCAGGAATGTTATAAGTATGACCGTTCAATCTCAATTTTATGATAAATTCTGGTTGTTTCTTTGTAATAATCTAGAGTGATTATAAGAATAATATCTATCTAGAATTTTCTGAATGCATGCAGTCTTATAATGGATTCCAATTGATGAGATCGTGATAAACAACCTTAAGCTGCTTCAAGAAAAAAAAATTGCCATAATAATTTAACCACTTTCAACTTTAAAAAAGACCATTTTATGATTTATCACACGTTCATTTCCCTTTGCTAAAAGATGGCAGAAACAAAACATGATTGGTGGGAGCTCTTTTTTTTAATGAAATGATGATATTTTTTTTGTATTTCAACATAAATCCCTTTGCTAAAAGATGGCAGAAACAAAACATGATTGGTGGGAGCTCTTTTTTTTAATGAAATGATGATATTTTTTTTGTATTTCAACATGTTAAATGAACATTTCATATATTTTTTTTTCATTTTACTTGAAATTTAGTTAAAATATATATAAATATATATAAAAGCCTATACATAATAGATTAAATATTAATCAATCAGTGATAAGGAATTTTGTATTCGTTAACAAGATCTCAGTCTTAAGTATTGAAAATAAAGGAAAATAAAAATGAAAATCAGTTTCAAATTTAATATTAAAAAATAATTAAAACCCCATGTGCTTGTTGGGTATTAAAATGTTTTGATGAGAAAAAGATAAAAGACGTACCAGTACCAGATATCAAATTAAAATTTCATGTGCACAGTACACCAACGTGACTACTTTATTAAATTTCATGTTTAAAAATATCGAGTGTTGATGACGTTCGCATCATGCGCATTCTTCTATATATATAATATGTTCTCAACGCCAAAAACATTAAGCTAATCCCATTCATCCAGAAACAAACAACGTGGCAAGAAATCAACAATGGCAGCTCAAACAACTCCATCTCCGATCAAAACAGTGGTCGTTTTGGTTCAAGAGAACCGTTCCTTCGACCACATGTTAGGGTGGTTCAAAACACTAAACCCAGAGATCGACGGCGTCACAGGCTCCGAATCCAACCCCATTTCCACCTCCGGCCCGACCTCCACCCACTTCACCTTCAAGGACACCGCCGCCTACGTTGATCCCAACCCCGACCACTCGTTCCAAGCCATATACGAACAAGTATCCGGTAAACCATGGGATTTCAACAACCCGGACCCGAATCCGGAGATAAAAATGAACGGGTTCGTACAAAACGCCGAACGTACAACGCCGGGGTTGTCGGAGACGGTCATGAATGGGTTTAAACCGGAGATGGTGCCGGTGTTCAAGGAGTTGGTGACGGAGTTCGCGGTTTGTGATAGGTGGTTTGCGTCGTTGCCGACGTCGACGCAGTCTAACAGGCTTTACTTACACTCGGCGACGTCGCGTGGGGCCATGAGCAACGATACGCAGAAGCTGATCGAAGGATATCCACAGAAAACTATATTTGAGTCACTGGAAGAGAACGGATATACCTTCGGGATTTATCATCAATCTTTCCCAGCAACGCTTTTTTACAGGTAATCATTTATACTTAATTCATTTATACATATAGACTTATTTTTCCAAACTTTTGATTTTGGCATCTGCTGGAGTTCATCACGTTTAGATTTAGTAGGCTACCTTCCTTTCCCTTTCCTTCCTCCCAGTAAGAAGGAGGGAAAGAAGAGCATGTGGATGTTAGCAGGCGGTGCATCCTTCCCTCCGCTTATATGAGATGAGTCGGTCCAAGTATTTGTTGAGTTTGATTTAATTAGAAAAATTTAAAATTAAATTTGACTCGATCAAAAATACAAAATCCAATAAGATAGAAAGGGAAAATGTTAGATTTTAAGAACCTACTTCCACTGTGTTTGGTGTAAATCAATCAAAACTTTGAATTATGATATATATATATATATATGGTAAAGTTGAATTATGATATCAGTGTCTATTAGTTAAATGTTAAAACAAAAGTCTACATGATAGGATTTAATTATTTCACTCATCCTCACCTCACCTCACCTCACCCACAACCACAAGATTCCCATAATGTTGAAAGGGTCCATTAATATTTTATGTTCTCAAGGGGTCCATATGTTGAAATTTTATCAATAGACCACATGCACAACAGCCACGTTCTTTACTTTTTCTTCGTCACTACAGCAAAGTCTTCATATACTATTCACCGAATAAGAAACATCGTCTAAAATATTTTCCACCAATGGTATTAAACCACGTGGCGGCATCTGGATCTATGATTTACTCTAACCCTAAACCTGGATCAAGCGCCGTAAGAATTGGGTTTAACATGAGTATTTGCCGGTCCATATTAACATATGCATACAATCAAGGAGAGATGTACAGATCTGAATTGTGATTGATATACTGATAATATGGTTTGATTAATTAATAACAGGAACCTCAGGAACGTGAAATATGTGGACAATTTCAGTAATTACGATCTCAGCTTCAAGCGTGACTGTAAGAATGGAAAGCTACCAAATTATGTGGTGATCGAGCCCCGATACTTCGACATATTAACCGCAGGTGCGAACGACGACCACCCTTCCCACGACGTTTCAGAGGGCCAGAAGTTTGTGAAGGAAATCTATGAAGCACTTAGATCAAGTCCTCAATGGAATGAAATCCTGTTCCTGATTACATATGATGAACATGGTGGTTTCTATGACCATGTTCCGACCCCCACCGGAGTCCCTAGTCCTGATGATATCGTCAGCTCCGGGCCTTACAACTTCAAGTTCGATCGCCTCGGATGCAGGGTTCCTGCCATATTGGTTTCTCCATGGATAGAGCCCGGAACAGGTAATTCCCAATGCAAGATTATGTCAAAGTTGTTTCAAATTCGGTTATTAGTATGGAATACGAGTATGTGTCTGATACGAGTTTGTTGATATTTTTCCTTAATATACTCAGTGTTGCATAGGCCATCAGGGCCACATCCGACATCAGAGTTCGAGCACTCCTCCATTCCAGCAACTGTCAAGAAGATTTTCAATCTGAAAGAATTTTTAACAAAGCGTGATGCATGGGCCGGTTCCTTTGATATTGTTGTCAATCGAAGCACCCCAAGAACAGATTGTCCTGGTAAAAATTTCAAACACCCAACAATTGTTTTTCATTTTCCAGTAAACTGATCGAAAGTTGGTAAACTAATTATTGAACATATAAACGTAGAAAAACTGGCTGAGCCGGTGAAAATGAGACACACCGATGCAAAAGAAACAGCAAAACTAAGCGATTTTCAACAAGAGTTGGTGCAAGTGGCAACAGCATTGAAAGGAGATCCATTGAAAGTTGTTGACAACATGACAGTCTCTTCTGGTCTCAAGTACGTTGAAGATGCGTTCAGTAAGTTCTATGATGGAGGCAAGAAAGCCAAGAAAATCAATGGAGTTGACGATATTGTTTCAGCTGTTGCATCGGGGGCAAAAACTTCCACAACTTTCGTCAAGAACATTTTCTCTTGATTGGTCTCAGATCATTCATCAAATACAAACACGATCACCAAAGAATCTGCCATGTTTCGATCCATCTTCTTTTCCACCAGATGCTTGCAATTTGAATAAATACGGAGTTAGAAAAGTCAGAATGCCTATCTACTTTGGAAGGAGCTTGTTTGTAAGAGTTAGAACTATCCAGTCGTGTATTGTGTTTATTTATCTTTTAATACTTAGTATTAAAGATATTATGGAGTTCCTCTTTTTCTTGCCTATTACATAAAAAACTATTTTCTTTATTGATTGTTCTTCCTTTTGCTAACCCTGATTAAATTTTATAACCCAACTAACAGGCGTATTATAATAACAAAGGAGACCAGAAAAATCCAAGTAAAATACTGCTATCCTTCATTGACCTATTTATGGATAGATTTAATACACTATTGTATAGTTTGTCATTTACAATTTTTCCTTTTATACACATTCTTAAACAAAATTTCTAGTTTTATCCTCTCATGTTGATATAAAAATTTAGTACTTAAATAAAACAGAATTTTCAGCAAACAATTCTTAGATAATTATTTGTTGACATAAGATATTTGTTTCTATGTCAGTATAATGACGTATATATTATCTGACGTATTTGGAAAGACACTTGAACCATTCGATGTCTACTAGATTACTATTCTACTAAGTTTAGCATTCCAACTTAATGTAGTTCTAAGAAAATATCATGCTTTTTAAGCATCTTTTCGAAAATACCAGATAATCTATATATTTTCTTACCAACACTATAATAAATATCACGTCTCCCACAAATAATTTTTTTAAACACATGAACAAATCCAGAATTTTAATACGAGAGGGATTAAATATATATGTTTTTGAATTTGGAGGATAATTTATAATTATTTTATAATATTTAAATTTTATATGTATATTAAATGTAAAAAAAAATCCCAGCTCCCAGTATTAATGTAATTTCGTCCCTAACCCTAAATAAATCAATTTTCTTTCGGCACATTGTCTAAACACTTTCAACTAGAATTCTCAATAGCGGCGGACACAAGCTAGACTAGAGGGGTCATGGTCTTTCTAATATTTCAAAATTCTAATTTTAATTTTTAAAATTGTTAAAAAATTTAATTTTCTCCCAATTTTTAAAAATTCAAATTAAATATTAATATTTTAATGTTCTTAATTAAACTACTTCCCATAATTTTTAAAAATTCTCATTGAGCCTTTCAAAATTTTAAAATTTTTAATTAAATCTTAATTTCTTTTTAGAAAAAATATAAATTAAACCTTTCAAAATTTTAAAAATCTTAATTCAAACCTCACCAAGTTTCGCCGTCAATTCTCAACCAAGTAACTAATTGAGCGTAATTCGACGTGACTATATTATCAAAATATCCCCATCATCCTCATCTATCCTCATTGTATATTCATGGTTTGGGCTCTAAAATCATTATGCTAATCGCATTTCGCCAGAAACAAACAAGTTGACAAGAAATCAACAATGCCAGGTGAGACAAGCTCTGCAACTCCATCTCCAATCCAAACGGTGGTCGTTTTGGTTCAAGAGAGCCGTTCCTTCGACCACATGTTAGGGTGGATCAAAACACTAAACCCAGAGATCGACGGTGTCACAGGCTCCGAATCCAACCCCATTTCCACCTCCGACCCGACCTCCACCCACGCCACCTTCAAGGACACCGCCGCCTACGTTGATCCCGACTCCGACCACTCGTTCCAAGCCATAAACGAACAAGTATCCGGCAAACCATGGGATTACAAAAACCCGGACCCGAATCCGGAGATTAAAATGAACGGTTTCGCACAAAACGGCGAACGTACAAAACCAGGGTTGTCGGAGACCGTCATGAGTGGGTTTAAACCGGATATGATTCCGGTGTTCAAGCAGTTGGTGACGGAATTCGCGGTGTGTGATCGGTGGTTTGCATCGTTGCCGACTTCGACGCAGTCTAACAGGCTTTATCTACACTCAGCGACGTCGCATGGTGCCGTAAGCAACAACACGGAACAGATTAAAAAAGGATATCCTCAAAAAACTATATTTGAATCACTGGAAGAGAATGGATATAGCTTTGGGATTTATCATCAAGCTTTCCCAACTACGCTCTTTTACAGGTAATCATTTTAACTCTTCTTCAATTTTTCATCTATACTTATTCAAAAAATACGGTATATCTTTTATTTTTATTTTAGGAAAAATGAAAGAACAACTTTATTTTCACTTCTCATTTTTTTAGAAAAGCATTATTTCATTGAATTATGAATTAAAAAAATGAATAATTTATTTTTTTTAAACCAAACCGATCAAGTCGGGACCCATCGAGATTGGATCTCATGCCCATACCTATGTTTTCATACTTTGCTATAAATTACAATGAATAATTTTTAACTTATTTAATTCATCGATTAATAAAACTAGAGTTAATTGTATAACACATTATTCAATTATGACTCTCATTTTAAATTGGTCCCTAAACTTTTAAATATTTTAATTTCATCCTTAAAACCATGACTATCATTTTAGATTAGTCTTCAAACTTTTGAACATTTCAATTTCATGCCAAAATATGATCTTCATTCTAAATTGGTCCCTTGACTAATTCAGACCGACCCGTGTCGCACACCTAGTTTTGGTGGGCGAGCCTCCCAACATGGATTTCTGCATACACAATGACTCGAACTCGAGACATAACTTAAGCGATATCAAGTTCCTTCCCATTTAAACAAACCCCGTTAGTAATAAGTAACTTATTTTAAATTTTTATAATACTTTAATTTTTTTATCAGAATTATTTTACTTTTGTAAATTCTTTTCTATGTCTTAACTTGTTCTGTCTCTACCATATTTATTCATACTCCCATTATCAATAATAATAATAATAATAATAATAATAATAATAATATAATAATAATAATAATAATAATAATAATAATAATAATAATAATAAAGTACTAATTTTTTTTCTTCTTTTGCTCCGTTATTAGGTGACCATGTGTATAGTTGGCTCGTTCTTATCTTTTTGTTCTTTTGAAATGATAGGTTTTCTTTAAACTTTTTTTAATTTGATAACATAAAATTTGAATCATCAACTGTCGTATACTATATACTGATAGAATGCTTAATTTTAATAATCAAAAGTCGCGAATTAAAATGTAAAAAAATTGAATATTAATTTGTTTTTCTTAGATATAACTTGTGAGGAAACAATAGCTGAAAGCAACAGACAGTGACTGATTAGGTGAAGCTAACCCAATTAGAATCATTAAAAAGCTTGGCCACTGTTGAATTTTATTATTGTTATTGTTAGAGTATGAATGTGGCATTTTAGATATATATTATATAAAAAAATATTATAGTAAAGACATATTCGATATTTACCTTCAAAATTTATATTTCATAATTATCACTCAACTTTTATTGTTAATAAAATTAAATTATGAATATTAATACCATTAAATATTTTTAATAAAAGAGATTAAATCAAATTATTTAAGTCCTCGTACTGTCGTACACAATGTATTTTTTTTATTACATTAGATATTGAACTTTTGACGTGGAGAGGAGAAGTTGAAGTCTTGTTAATGCTTATAGATCATCTTACTAAAGAAATGTATGAATTGGTATACTGATAAATTGGTTTGATTAATTGAAAACTGGAACCTTAGGCGGTTGAAATATGTGGACAATTTCCATCAATTCGATCTCAGGTTGAAGCATGACTGTAAGCACGGAAAGCTACCAAATTATGTGGTGATCGAGCCCCGATATTTTGACATTTTAACCGCTGCTGCAAACGACAACCTCCCTTCCCACGACGTTTCCAAAGGCCAGAAGCTTGTCAAATGAAATCTACGAAGCACTTAGATCAAGTCCCCAATGGAATGAAATGTCGTTCCTCATTACATATGTCGAACATGGTGGCTTCTATGACCATGTTCCGACACCCACCGGAGTCCCTAGTCCCGATGATATTGTTAGCGCCGAGCCTTTGAACTTCAAGTTTGATCGCCTTGATTGCAGGGTTCCCGCCATTATGGTTTCTCCATGGATCGAGCCTGGAACAGGTAATTCCCAATGCAAGATTATGTCTAAGTTGTTTCTAATTCGGTCGTGAGTATTGAATACGAGTATGTGTCTGATATGAGTTTGTTCGATTTTTACCTTAATATTTTCAGTGTTGCATAGGCCATCAGGGCCACATCCAACATCAGAGTTCGAGCATTCCTCCATTACAGCAACTGTTAAGAAGATACTTAATCTCAAAGAATTTCTGATAAAGCGTGGTCCATGGGCTGGTCCATTTGATATTGCTGTCAACGGAAGCACCCCAAGAACAGATTGCCCTGGTAAAAATTTCAAACAACCAAAAGACCCTGCAATTGTTTTTTTCTTAATTTCTCCATTAAACTGATCAAAATCTATACTTTGGCATTAAAATGTAGAGAAACTGGCGGAGCCAGTGAGAATGAGAAGCACTGAAGCAAAAGAAACAGCAAAACTAAGCCATTTTCAAGAATAGTACAAGTAGCAGCAGCATTTAAAGGAGAAGGTTTGAAACTTGTTGAAAACATGGACGTTTCATCTGGTTTCAAGTACGTTGAAGATGCCTTCAAGAAATTCTATGACGATGGCCAGAAAGCTAAGGAAATGAATGGATTTGAAGGTACTGTTACGGCCGATGCATCAACTGGGAGGAGAAAAGCTCCCAAGACTTCCGTGTAGAATGTTCTCTCTTGTTTGGTTTGTGATAATTGATCAAACAAAAAAACCATGCATCATCTTCCAAGCCTCCGTCAATGGTTTTTCTCCCACATGTTTGCAGTTTGAGGGAAGGGTTTAAGTTTAACAAGTTTGTGAAAATCAGAACAATACACCTTTGTATCATGTCATGTTCTTGTATTTTGTGGTGTCATAAGTTTAAGACGTTTTATATTTTTTAAAGTTAATATTGTTAATAGATTATGATATGTGATTTTCATATAGTTTGTCATTTTTTTGTCATGTTCTTTTTCAGAATCGTGCGTAATATCATAAATTTGTCAAATCTAGTGAGGAAGATATTTTTTTAATATGTATATTTAACTTGAGTGTTAAAGCAACCGAAAAAACAGCGCATGGCTTGTCCGAGAGTGACGAGCAGGAGATGCAGCAGCGTCATCACTGCTGCTTATCCCATGAAATTTAGAGAGCAGCAAGCAAAATCCCAGAAAAAATAGTCGTCATCCACTCGTCACCATCTAAGCCGTCGGCTAGTTACGGTGGGAATCCTCCGGTGTCTCACTTTGGAAGATGAACAAAATACAAATAAATATGAAGAGTAAATTTTGAATTTATTAACAAATACAAATAAGATAAAAGTTCATTTATGTTATTATAAACTAATTGGCTCACAAAAAATCTATACAAAATTGAAATAAAAGTAAAGGGGATCTAATACAAGGATTATTACCAGCACTCTTCGATACAAAAATACGGAAGCAGTACCAAAGCAAATACTTGTCAAAAACTAGGGTTTTGGAGCTTTACATTTCAAGGCCGAAAATCTGAGCAGCAAAAATGGAGAAAACTGAAAACAAATCAGAAAATGGAAAATCATAAGCCCCATTTTGGATGCACTTTCTTCTTCTTTGTAGGGCAATGGAAGTCATCCACGTTAGTGGAGCACCCAAATTTCCTCTTCATTTCACTCCACAAGCTCAACTTCCCCTTATTGACTCTTTGCCTGTTGTTTCCATTTGTGATTTCTTTCTTCATTTCATGGCAGTCCTTCTCAAGATCCTTCACCTTAATGCTTATTTTCTCCATTTCCACCCTCACTTCATCTTCTTCTTCGTCTTCTTTCCCGTCTTCGTGAGTTCCCCGCACCAGCGTTTCTCTCAGCTGCAACTGTGCCATAAACAGCACCTGCACCACTACTCTTACCGGTAATCTTTCGTTCTTAGCAGCGTGTTCGCAAGCCTCGGCTGACATTTTCCGAAAATCCAACACCTTACAGACCTGTTCTTTTTCCTTCTCTGTCAGGTAAGCATGCTTTTCCAAGTATATGTCGATAGCCCGGTATATACCGTCAGAATTTCTCTTTGTTCCTAATGCTGCAGCCATGGACATCTCTTCAAGTGAAACGAAAGTGTCTACCATTAAATCTATATCACAAGCAACTTCTGCCAAGAATTCTTCCATGAGTTCCGCCACTGTGATGAATCCGGAAGCATCAGAGCTATCGTAATTGCCATAGAAGATTTTCAGAATCCTCCTTATACACTCAATATCATATTGGAGTTCCTTGGCATAGCCTTGAGAAGGAATCAACAGGTCCTTTGCTTTTGCCTGGTCCAGCTGCTTTCCGATCCTTATCTCGAAACCATTCCTACATGCCGAGCTAGCTTCCAAGTCGATCGCGCCTCGGAGCATTTCGAATAACAATGTGCAAGGAAGGAGCTCTCTTCCGTGAGGCAAAAGCTTCTCCAATGTTTCAATTACACTTCTTTGAGATTTCCTCTTGTAAATCGACACAGTCTCCTCTCCATTGCTACAAAAAAGGATCCACTTCTTTGCATATCGATAAATCGATGCCGAAATGTATTCCGGTGGGATTCCATGCTGTTTCATTGTGTACATGATAGGCTCATATAGCTGGAGAGACAATGTTGTCAAATCCTCTTGCCAGTCCAGAGCAAAGAGCCTTCTCTTTGCATTAGGCTTATCACCAACATCACCATTGTTTCTCGAGATGATTATTGGTTCCCCTAGATGTCGTGGATTCTCCAACGCCTTTGCAACCATAGCCTGTAAGCAGGCATCGAATAAACCGAGCTGCATCGTTTGTTGAAGGTACTTTTCGGACGAGCGTAAAGCCTTGACAATTTCATTCCAACTAGGGAGGACTCTTTGCTCGAAGAAAGTAACAGCTTTGCTTAATAGATTGTTATTGCAGTGATTTTCATCCATCCCTAAGTAGTAGGACAGGCAGATGAGTGGCACGATGTTTTCAGCGGACATCTGAACCGCATATCCGTGGCAGAATCTTGCAACGAGCTCGAACGTCTCCGAATCAGCCGGAACGTCACGAAGCAAGCAAGATAGATCTGCATTGGAATTCTCTTTAAGTAAGGCAGCAACTTTAGCTGATTTTGAGGCCAGAAGTTCCTAGATTGTAAGGATCATAAATCCAAAATTATAATGTTGATTCACAAAGGATAAAATCACTAACGAAATGAAGGTTGTTTTAGAAAATTTCTCACTTTGTCTAGGGCAAAGGGCTTACTTCCTACATGAACTTCCAATTCCTTAGGCAAGGCAGATTTAGAAATCCTGAGAACAACAAAACAAGAAAGAGTTATACGACGGCGGTCGATCGGAATTCAGAAAATCAACTCAAAGATTCGATACCTCAACGATGTATCCGCATATCGCCTTTCGGTCATGCTGTTATCCGGTTTTAGCTTTCGAATGAAAACCAGAAGAATGCAAAATCACAGTAGGGTTCCCTTGATCATTTTGACAATTTTAGGGCAATTCAATGATACATAACAAACAGCAATACAATAACAACTAATCATTATTAACAGCTACATATGAACTTCCAAAGAGACAGTCACATAAAAAAAACAGAAAACGAAACATGGGTTATGTGAAATATAGGATTAAAGTCACATTTTACACACAAAAACAAATTCTTACCTTGAAGAAGATAGTGAGAGAGCAGTAAGAGCGAAGAAGAAGAGTTAATTTGATTGGAATTTTTTTCATTTGTTGAGAAAGGGTTGAAAGAAAAAGTAAAAACAAACGTAACAGCACATATACTAGTTCCTCATTTTGTGGGGGTTCTGTTATTTGAAAACTTTTCAAAAATCAGATTTTGATAAGAGAAAAGTCTACCTCTCTCGTTTTTATTTTTCCTTGACAAATTCAACTCATTTTTAGTTTCTTCGAATTCAAACCCGAAATCGGTTTAAGTATAAAAAAACATAATTATATAAATCAATTAACATTTAATTATTATCTACTTTTAATTTATGTTAGGGTTTAAATTATTGAGTTACCTCCTTGATTGGTTGAAGGGAGTGTTGATCTTTGATCTTGAGCTCAAACAATTATGTATGAGAATTGACAATGATTAAAAAAATAATAAACATATTCAACTAATTTTTAGTTTCTTCGAATTCAAACCCGAAACCGGTTTGAGTATGAAAAAAAATACAATTACATGAATCAATTAACATTTAATTATTATCTACTTTTAATGTATGTTAGAGTTTAAATTATTGAGTTACCTCCTTAGTTGGTTGAAGAGAGTGTTTGTAACATCCTCCATGCCGGGTTAGTGATTAATTTGCAAAGTTTCAATATTTGGTGATTTAAGTAAAATGATGGAAGAGTGTAATGATCTATTTGAGTTATTTGGTGTAGATGTAATTATAAAGAAGGGAATTAAGAAAAGAGTAATTAAGTAAAAGAAATAATTAAATATTCCTTGGGGATTATATTAGAAATCACGTGGGTATTAGGTTTCCAGAATACTCCCATTTCTTCTTTCTTATCTTCTTCTCTTCCTTCTCCAAACGTGGAGCTTGCAAGTAAAGGTAAGAAACTGAACCTTGGTAGTTTCTTTGATTTTTAAGATTGGAAATGGAAGTTTGTATGTTATATAAGCTAAAGGAAAGCTTATATGACATTAAAACTACAAGATAAGTGTTTTAGAGATAGATTTGGAAAATGAGTTTTTAGATGAAATTTTGATATGGATGAGTTTTTGATGTTTGAATAAGATTTTTGACTTGTCAATAAGCTAATTAAGAGTATGAAGTAATAGAATGAAATTAGAACAGTTGGAATTGGAGTAAGATTCTTCAATTCTATATGGATGAGTAGTTTTCTTAGTTTTAGAGGTATTGAATGGATAATAATTAGTTTAAGTAAGTGTATGAGAGCTAAGAGTATTAAAGGGATTGAAATATGTATGTTTGAGCTGAAATGGGATGATTTCCGAGCTCAAAATAGGATTTATGGGTTAGGGGAATCGGTACCCATTCAAGGGGAACCGATACCCCTCAACGAATATGAATTTCCAGAATACTAGAGGGAATCGATACCCCCAGGGGGAACCGATACCCCTCAACGGATATGAAATTCCAGATGCTAGAGGGGAACCGATACCCCCCAGGGGGGAACCGATTCCCCCATGAGAAAAAAAAAAGAAGAAAAGAAGAAGACTAAGCTATAAATTCCTTAAATTAGTAAGCTATTAAAGCTTAATTCAAGACATAGACATCTGATGATCATCTTGAAAATTATGTTTATGTAGATACCGAGCCTACTCGAGTTCGGGAACAATCTACAAGTAGAATCGATCGAGGAAAAGGCAAAGAAGTAGGTGAGTGCATATGCATAGATGATTATAGATATCCTGCATTCTAGACTTGTGATAAGTCTAGATTTATATCTTGATACATGAGCATATTCTGTATTATGAGACATGACATGAATTCATATAAAAGCATTATATGACAGAATATGTGGGAAAAAAATGAGCTATGTGAAAGGTAAGAATTACATGTCTACGCGATAGAGACTACGTGAAATGTAAAAGCCCATGTTATGTAGATGAGAACTATAGTATAGTTGGCATGCCAAGGGTAGAGGGTCTACGCGGTTCTTTAGGACATATGTATATCCTTTGGAACCTGTGTGAAGTCTGAAAGACACATACTTGATCCATAGTATATGTATATGATTCTTAAGGAATTCTATGTGGTCCTTATGGACATCATTATATGGCACTACGGTGCAATTCTACGGGGCACTTCGGTGCAGTTATACGAGCTGTGGTGACAACATAGTGCACAACCTCACATTACTCCGATACCTTAGGTTCTCAATATGCGATCATGGGCCAATAACTTATTAATACAGATTCATGAATGTTACAGTCATACGCTTACAGGTATGGATATTGATGATGTATACTACATTGATTAAGTACATGTTGCATCTCATCTCATATGATCCTGACATTTTAATTACTTACATTGCCTTGTTATTATTATTGCCTCACTAAGTCGATGACTTAGCGTGTGAGTGTTTCACACGTAGGATCCGAGGAATTAGACGAGACAGGTGAAGCAGCTTGACAGTATTACTCCTGCAACCATCAGATCAGAAGCAACTTAATCAGTAGTTATTTTGTTATGTAAAGGCGGTTGGCATGTAATTAAAGGTTAAGTTGTGTATGCTCTGAATATTGATAAACTTATATTACAGTATTATATTATTGTATTTCTAATATAAATTCAAATATTTTACTATTATTTATAGAGTTGTGTTTTAAAGTCAATGTAGTATCTCTGACTCATATCCGGGTCGGGTATGGGTTGGGGTGTTACATTTAATGGTATCAGAGCTATGGTTTTAGCCGATTCTAGGCATAAACCATAGTCTATAGAGTCTTTAAATGGAATACATGCCAACAAATAGTGAGAACTTCTGATCTGGTATGTATGAGTATGCTGTTTTTAATAGAATAATGTGTTTATTCTTATTAGATGTCCGGACATAATAGCTCCGAAGTGAAGCGGGAGAAGATAGGCATGCTGAAAGCAAAGTAATTCCCCTGCCCTGGCCAGGCAGGGTGAAGAACAGGCATCTCAAGGAGTGTCTGTGCAAGATCAAGACGTTCTTCAGAACGTTAGACGCTATTCTGACGCGTCTTCAACCTCCTGCTCCACTAACTCCAAGAATTAATGTAGCAAAAGAGTTGAGAAGTTTAGGAGCTCCCGAATTTAAGGGAGAAGCTGAGGAAGGTCAGTGTCAGCTGATCTTTGGTTGAATGATTTGAAAATCATGTTAGATGGTCTCCACTGTTCCGAAGTGGAGAAATTAGATGGAGTTGTGTCTTTATTGAGGGTCAGGCGAGGATATGGTGGACGAACGTCACCATGAGGATGTCAACCGACCAGTTGACTTGGTCTTTGTTTTAGAAAATTAAAAACAAGTATATGGAGATCAGTTTATCCGCCAAATGAAGCAGGAATTATGAATTTGAAGCATGAGCCGCTCTGTGTATGAGTACGAATGTGAGTTTAATAAGCTGAGCAGGTTTGCAGCTGAGCTTGTGCCTACTGAAAAAGTGCTTGCGAGTGGTTCGTGGAGGGCTTGCGCCCTAGACTTAAAGAAATGTTGATAGTATTAAACTTGTCCTCGTTCCAGTAGGTGATCAATCGGCAAAAGCTCTTGAAAGGGCTCAAATGAAAGATTTGGGGACTCACGGTGCTGGGAGATCTACTCCGGGTCAAGTATAGCTGCTGGGACTTGTTTTCGATGCGGAGATGCCAAACATTTTGTCCGGGATTGTCCCTTGATTGTTGGTGAGCCGACACCATCTGGAAGAGCTGGTTCTTTCTCACAAAGATGACGAGGAAGAGGCAGAGGAAGGAACCCGTCTGAATTCTCTGCTCAACCTGAAGTTCGATCCACTGCTCGAGTATACAACCTAAAGACAAGTGAAGACCGTGATGACCCTGATATTATAGCAGGTACTTTTCAGTTGTATGATAAATTAGTATTGGTGCTGATTGATCCGGGTTTCTAATTATTCTTATATACAAGTAAGTTAGTAAAGGAGTTGGGGATTCCCTTAGAACGAGTAATGAGATTATAGTAACAACTCCGTTAGGCCATAGTGCCCGGGTGAATAAAGTCTGTAAGGGGTGTCCCATAAAGGTTCAGGGAATTGAATTCCCTGCTAATCTGATGGAATTACCCTTTGACGAGTTTGAAGTGATTCTGGGAATGGATTGGTTGTTCCGTTATTATGGAGATGTTAGTTGCAGATTGAAAAAGGTAACTCTGAAAAGTCTAAAAGGAACAGAGATAAGTGTGAGCAGTGAAAAGTTTAATCCTTTAACAAATGTAATATCAGTGATGTATGCCAAGAAATTATTGCTACAAGGATGTCAGGGTTTTCTTGCAAATGTGATTGATTCAAGAGCTCAAGAGAAAAGGTTAGAGGAAATTCCAATAGTTCGAGAGTTCCCTGATGTTTTTCCTGCTGAATTGCCAGGATTACCTCCGGATAGAGAGGTAGAATTCCAAATTGAAATAATGCCGGGAACAGCTCCGATTGCAATGGCACCTTATCGAATGGCTCCGAAAGAATTGCAAGAGTTAAAGAATCAATTACAAGAATTGCTAGAGAAGGGATTTATCCAACCAAGTGTATCGCCTTGGGGAGCTCCAGTGTTATTTGTTAAAAAGAAGGATGAATCAATGCGTCTCTGTATTGATTATCGACAGCTTAATAAGGTGACCATCAAGAACAAGTATCCCCTTCCGCGCATTGATGACTTGTTTGATCAACTAAAAGGAGCTTCGGTATTTTCGAAGATTGATTTACGTTCGGGTTATCATCAATTGAAGATCCAGGAGAAAGATATTCCGAAGACAACTTTCAGAACGAGATATGGTCATTATGAATTCATCGTAATGCCATTCGGAGTAACGAATGCACCTGCTGCTTTCATGGATCTCATGAACAAGATTTTTCAGCCTTATCTGGACCAGTTTGTTGTTGTCTTTATTGATGACATACTGGTTTACTCGAAGTCCATTGAAGAGCACATCACACATTTGAGGCTAGTTTTGCAAATTCTCAGGGATAAAAATCTCTATGCGAAATTGTCTAAATGTGAATTTTGGCTAGACGAAGTAATTTTCTTAGGGCATGTGATCT